GAAGTCATTAGTCGTGTTAACCCTACCGCGTAACCCAGTATAGTCTTTCTCTTTTTTGTAGATTCACCACTTTCGATTTCCCTACAAAAATAGAATGAACACCGAAATGGTTACGAACAACCCTATCAAGCTGCAGACGCTGAGATACAGACACGGTGGGCTAATAGGCTTGAGAAGGCAAGTAAAAAAATGCAGTGCGAAATCATGTCTCGGACACCAAAATAGATGGCTAAATTGGAAGCAACACAAAGCTATATATAATATACGAGATTCCATCTCTACAGTAGTTATCCATTTTAGTGTGGTCAAAATGGGTATTTCTAGCTTGAGAAAATAATGTAGACATTATTTCCAGCCTTGTTTGTTTACTTTTTTTTAAAGAGTCCCCAGATGTAGGCTTGAAAATATAATATTTGTATTTTGATCCGACTTGTTTCTGTACTTTCTTGACGATTCCTGTCCCCCCCCCCCACACTTAAGTTCTTAAGTCTTTTGTACATTTATGGATAATATATTTTGAGCTACATACGTGCATGTGCATTCAGTTGAATGTTACATGTTTTTTAACAGTTTACTGTTGTATTGACTTTTTTTTTCACCCAACCATTATTTACTGAGCCAGGTGGCTTTGTGCCTGAGGTTTTGTGTAAACACGCGTCATACAAGCGTCGAGTACAAAGCCAGCTGCTCACAACAACATCGTATCTATTGTGTATTTATAACCACGTAAGTGAACTTTTAATGAAGAATAATCAACTTTTAAATAGGTCATGGACATTCGCAGCGTATCATATAATATAGCTGATTTTGCTGTAGGCTTGTGAAATAATAATATGAACAAATAGGCAAATTTTGATTTTGTCTGACAGTGGTTAAATCACTTATTTTGCTTATTATCAATGTTTTTGGGTGGTCTTAACTATTGAAAGGGAAGGTTTTAAGTATTGTTTTAAGAATAAGTCTGCTTTTTAAGGTGATTTTTGCCCGAATGTTCTATTAGAGTTTTGAGCAAATTCCTGTGCGATCCCTATTATGAACCACTATCGTGGTTTATGATGTATTTATGTAAGTTATTTACTTAATGGTATAGTCCCGAAGGTGGATTTCCTGACGTGTAGTCTAACAAACATATATCGGACTTTCATCGTTAAAAATCAAGAGTTATCACAAAGAAGTTTCAGTACAGAAGTGTAGGAGGCAGATTAATAGTGGGGAGGGTGGGGGTCAAGGTTTATTTGACCGAGTAATTTTCCTAATTTTGCTGAATTTGTACAGGAACAGATTGAAAATTGGGGGCACCCCCCGCTTCTCACGCCACTGCAGTACATCATGCTGTACGTTTGTTTGTTATCCTACATAACGGGTTATCTCTGCTCTGCCCATCGCGGGTATTGAAATCCGAATTTTAGCGCCGTAGGTTGTGAGGCTTACCGCTGAACCACGGAGGAGGGGGGGTGGGGGCATGCTGTACCAGTGAGTTATTCTAAATTCTCACAGTTTTCAAAATCAGCATAACGAAATATAAATTATACACGAGGAATGATCATATAATCGTCACGAGATTTACTGCCATGTATAGATAATTAGTTTTTACTTTGATGTGTCCTTCTTTTGGGTTTCTTCAATGGGTTTCAGTACAGTAAAAGTGCTTTGTCAACATGAACTTGGTCAACTAACGTAGGTTTGTAGATGTTATTTAATTTAAACTGGTGAACTGCAGTGTTGGTATAGATCCAGCATCAGTAACGATTCAATTTGTTTGTTTGTTTGCAGTTAAGCACAAAGCTACACAATGGGCTATCTGTGCTCTGCCCACCACGGGTATCGAAACCCGGATTTTAGCGTTGTAAGTCCGCAGACATACCGCTGTGCCACTGGGGGGCTAACGATTCAGTGCAGAGTGATACGTTCAGTAAAGGTTATTTATTTATTTATTGTTCTTAAGTCAAACCAAAAACGACAAAAAAGGAATATTAACCCATGAATGAACACGATGATAACAGGAATACGTTAAAAATAATATTAACCATATGATTAATAAACTGAAATTATTATTTTTTAATTATCTAATCAGCATTGTCCATATCCCAGGCGTCCTGGTATTTAGCGAAAGGCCTCGTTGGCACTGGATATAGCAGACAGTGGCGGCGCTACAGGGGGCGGGCATTTGCCCACCAAATTTTCTCTCCCCCCCATATTAAATCCTACAAATGTAATGTGTCTAACAAGAAAACACATTTACACATCACCGTTTTACGGATTTATTTTTCTCTTGAAGTCTACCAGATATATCCTACAACAATACAACAATCAGTATTCCCTTTAACCCTACTTTTTAACTAATGGTACTAATTAAGTAATTATTCAATTAAGTAATGCTAGAAATAACATTATACATCAATCCACTTTTAAAGTGACTTGTTACTTACTTACGGCTCTCTTACCTGAAACTTCATCGGGCAACAATGCACTGAGCGAAAAAATTCGTTAAACTGTAGCACACTGCTTTAAACTATTATTTGTCGTGGTTTCGATGTAAAATTAAATCTTTAATTTTACAATGTATTATTTGAAGTTTAAAAAATCATATATTTTATTTATTTATCTATTTTTATTTCTCTACATATTACCTATAATTGTATTTTCCTTTTATTATGTTTATTATATCGAAGCAATCGATTTATATTCGATATTCATCATAATTCTGTGTGTTTAATAACTTTGATACCAGATGTCAGTTATTGTTACGAATGTTGCCTAGATACATATTTTAAGGCAGTGTTCTACAGTTTAACGAATTTTTTCGCTCCGTGTATTGTTGCCGGACGAAGGCTCAGGTAAGAGGGCCGAAAGTTCGAAATAAAAGTATTTTAACGTAGAGAAAAGTCCGTTTATAATTCTACAGACTAGGGGTATTTGTGTTGTACGTAACTAAATTATAGCTCGTGAACTAAAATAAAAGTGAAATTTGGTTTATTGAAAAAAATCGTAACTCTTCAAGTAGGTAAGCTAATTAAGAAATTATCTTATCGATGATTGCTTACAAATCTAAAATATTTTCAGAACTGAAGCTTTTTTTTTGACGCGCAATCACTTAAAAAAATGTAGGACGTAAGAGTAACTTAATTGTTAAGCCTATCCCGCTACTAAAGTTATCTGAAGTAATTGTAAATTATATTGTTGGAAATGATCACTTACTTCAGAAAATAACCTGTATAAATTATATAACTGTATTCGCTGTAATTTGGAGATTCCAAAGATCTTGTATTCTTCGTGTTTTACAGTTTAGGATAACATTTGATAAAATAAACGGATATTAGGTTTAGAAAAAACGACCTTTATACTCCACATATATATATAAAAGAATTTAAAAAATTAACCGATGTTTCGCATTTGCGACTTTATTAGGGTTAAATTAAAATTTAAAAAATATTTTATATATATTTGGAGTATAAAAGTCGTTTTTTTTTCTAAACTTTTTATCAAAATGTGTAAATCCCTCCAGTATGCACTACAAATTTTAAAAGACAACATAAAATAAAGGGATATTGGTTCGGTTGATTACGGTTATTATCATAAATATAAACCAGTCCTTAACTAAAGGGCTAATGATACATATAATGGGGCCAAATCTAAAATAAATCTAAAATTGAATTAATGACTGACATTAGCTTAGGGGGAAACGACATTTTAGGGGTCCAGTCCCCCAACATTGGCCTTCATTTAAACTGACTTTTTTTTTAAAGGCAGAAAATAAAGTTCATCATTTTAACTAAAATAAAACTACTTATTTTTTTGTTTTGTTTCTTGGAGAAAAATATGAAACAAAATTAAAGAAGAAACATTCCATCGCCACTGTCTAGTAAAATCTTTAAAAAGCTCTTTTCTTATCGGTAAAGAATAATATTGATACTAACCTGTAACTATGCTGGCGATCATGATTGGTAGCACGAGCATCTTAAGTATACGAAGAAACAGATTCCCCGGCATCTCAACCAGAAGGATGACATCGTCGCTTGGTTGTGCTATTCTCAGCAACAGGCCTAACATTACTCCAAGGAAAACAGCAATCAACGTAGCTATTAAAAGGATGTTGTTTTTCAACCATCCTTTGAGACGGCTTTGATAAGACATCTTTGAGGAAACCTCAATGTTATTACTTTCAATATCCATGCTATTAGAGGCCTATAGTTACTGCTGCTCTTAGCGTTATTTACCGTTGGAAGAAAACCCTGTCTTACCTCTGTCATCCCTGGGTCCAAAATGTGCTCCAGGAATTTATGTACTTTCTTTAGAGCTTTTGTAGGGACCAATGACGTCAGCACCAAATCGAGTAGTCTGCCAACAGAAGAAGTGTAATGATCTTTCCCGGGATAAGTCGCCTATCTTGTCTCCCACGTTATTTCTTATTTTAAATAACCTTAACAGTATTTTAAGGTGGGAAGGGTCAGTTCGCACCCATTTAGTTAGTTGTTTTATTTTTTTTAAGTAAAAACTTTTATTTTTCCAAAATTATTGTGTGGGTAAATTCACGTCCATTTTATTTTGAAATAAGCAGAAAAGTTATTATTTTTTTTCAAGAAACAAATACATAAAATAAATCTGAAAATGTACTTCTCAATAATTATATAATTACTGGAGCATCTCGTATAACTTGTTTATTTGAAGTTAAGCACAAAGCTGCACAATGGGCTGTCTGTGCTCTGCCCGGTTTCTAGCGTTGTAAGTCCGCAGACATGCCGCATTGGCACTGGGGAGCAACTAATATAGAACCTCCTTTCAGCCGTGGGGGCGTTATAATGTGACGATCAATCCCACTATTCGTTGGTAAAAGAGTAGCCCAAGAGTTGGCGGTGGGTGGTGATGACTAGCTGCCTTCCCTCTAGTCTTACACTGCTAAATTAGGGACGGCTAGCGCAGATAGCCCTCGTGTAGCTTTGCGCGAAATTCAAAACAAACAATATAGAACCTACTTTACACGGCGTTAGTCAAAAGGCATACATCGCCGATATAAAGACCAATAGCATGAGTAATTTTACCGTATGATAGAGAACCACGTTATCTAACTGTGGTGTAATATCAGGTTAGGTTAGGTTTAAAACAAATGAAGTAATATTGAATTAAACGTTACAGTTGAAGTTTGGTTAATTGTCAAATTATATATTACGTATTATTATTATTACAGATGCCCCCCAGTGGCACAGCGGCATGTTTGCGGACTTACACCCCTAGAAACCGGGTTTCGATACCCGTGGTGGGCAGAGCACAGATAGCCCTTGTGTAGCTATGTGCATATTTAAAAACAAACAAACAAACAATTATTACAGACATAGAAACTACTTATCACCCCCCCCCCTTCCTTCCAATGAAAAGTTAAAACATATCTGTAAATCCATTTTTATTTCGGGATGGGCGTGGCCGATTGGTTAGCGTGCCCGGATTGTGAATCTCAGGATTCATGGCATACGAAAACAGTTAAGGTGCGTTATAAGAGTGATAATCAAATCCCACTGTTCGGTCAGCCTACAACTTTTTATCTCAAACAATATGTTTCTTCATGCGATCTGAAGATGTTGGACACATATTTTCACTAGTTTAGATACCGTTTCAATTTACTTTAGAACGGAAATTGCATACGTGTAATAACAATAGCGTTGAATCTTCTAGTATCTTAACATTTAATTAACTTTTTAGGTTAACACAATTTTATGTAACATTATTTTGAAGTCGTGGAAAAAGGTCAGTAATGTGTAATTGTTTCAGTGGGACTTTAGGCAGGGGTGATTCTAAAGAGGGATTTAAAACCACCATAACCAGCGTGCTCCACAATCTGGTGATCTACATATATCAGCGGCAAAGCCCTCCCCTACAATATTCTATCCGGCCCACCTCAGCACACCACCTGGAAAAGGCTGGCGCCGGACCAGCAGGGTAGACAGAGTAAGTCTGGAAACTGACTGTTTAAATAAAGGGAGAGGCCTTATAGAAGCCGAAACTTTAATCAGTTACAATTCATTAAAATTCTCAAACCTTAATGTACTATTCTTTGTAGGTTTCTCTTTAAGACACTATGGAACTAAGCAGAACAAACCTGTCTTTCTTGTTATGTTGTGTTTTTTTTTCTATCTTAGGGATAAAACATGCGTTTTTTTTAAATGTGATATTAAAACAAAATAACAGTTTTATAAATTAAGATTAATGTCTCTTTTATACGTTTCTTGCCTACAGTGGCTCAGAAATAAATCTGGAGGCTTATAACGCTAAAAACGGGTTTTCGATACCCGTGGTAGGCACAACACAGATGGCCTACTATGTAGCTTTGCGCTTAACAACAAGAAAATTACACGTTTCTAAATATACAATCAAGGAATTCATATTATAACGCCTCTTAGTGGCACAGTGGAAAGGCTGAAGGCTAAAAGCCACGTTTCCATACCCGTGGTGGGCACATCACAGACAACCCATTGTGTGACTTTGTGCTTAATAACAAACAAACAAAAATATATTATGAAACTAATGAAACGTTTTTAATACTAGGATGGATGAGTCATGGACTACTAATTAACAAACTTTGCTGTGTATCGAAGTATGATATCTCTGATCATGCTTCGCACTTTGAGTTCTGGACGAGTTATTGAATTAACAGTAACCCCTCCATTCGGTTTAACTGAAAAAAAATAACCGGACAAAGTTTTTGTGGTGGCGAATGCTACGGACTGACTGCCCTTCTTATGGTCAATAGTTTAAAATTAGAGCCGGCTATATTTGAGCTTTTTTTTTGACCTGGAAATTTGGCTGAAACTTCTACCGTTGGCATTGATTATGAAAAAAAAGAAAAAACACTGATATATTTTCTAAGTATGTTCAAAATAAAGTTAATAACATTTCTATCATTATAAAATTGCGGATGGATTTTAATGAATCAATTTTTGTAAAAGTGTCTCATATATTTCCTAATCTCATTTCTTTATTTACAGAGCTTTAGCTACAATCAGTGTCTTCAGATCTGGATCGCTTCCTACTAACACATCTTTTAAATTTAACGGAAACCGCACCACAACGTTGAAAATTGTGCACAGTAAAATTGTATTTTAAATGATGTTGTTTGTTATTAAGCACAAAGCTACACAAAGGGCTATCTGTGCTCTGCCCACCACGGATATGGAAACCTAGCTTTTAGCCTTCAACTTTTCCACTGTGCCACTAGGAGGCGTTATTTGAGTTTACTAAACAATTACATTAATTCTAATAAATATGTGTTATTATTGTTGTTTATTATTAAGCACAAAGCTACACAAAGGGCTATCTGTGCTCTGCCCACCACGGGTATGGAAACCTAGCTTTTAGCCTTCAACTTTTCCACTGTGCCACTAGGAGGCGTTATTTGAGTTTACTAAACAATTACATTAATTCTAATAAATATGTGTTATTATTGTTGTTTATTATTAAGCACAAAGCTACACAAACAGCTATCTGTGCTCTGCCCACCACTGGTATGGAAACCTAGCTTTTAGCCTTTAACCTTTCCACTGTGCCACTAGGAGGCGTTATTTGAGTTTACTAAACAATTACATTAATTCTAATCAATATTTGTTATTACTGTTGTTGTTTATTATTGAGCACAAAGCTACACAAACAGCTATCTGTGCTCTGCCCACCACTGGTATAGAAACCTAGCTTTTAGCCTTCAACCTTTCCACTGTGCCACTAGGAGGCGTTATTTGAGTTTACTAAACAATTACATTAATTCTAATCAATATTTGTTATTACTGTTGTTGTTTATTATTAAGCACAAAGCTACACAAAGGGCTATCTGTGCTCTGCCCACCACAGGTGTCGAAAGCCGGTTTCTAGCAGTGTAAGTCCACAGCCATATCACTGTGCCACCGGAGGGCGTTAAAAATAAGCATCAACCCTTCTGGACATGCTTGACTCGGCAGTTACCTACACTGCCATCTTCAGGTGAAACATAAGTGTCGTTTTTTATTATTATTACATTATTTAAATCTTTTAAATGTTGTTTCATTTAAAAACTGTGTAAAACAGATATATAATTTATGGAAAAAAAACATTTGTAAAGATGAGAAACACTTCGAAAAATGTTGAGTGAGTAATTAAGTTAAAAAATAATAATGTTTTGTGTTAGCACTTGTACGTCTAAGTACGCGTCCGACATTTGAAAAGTACCAGATGTAAATGGTTATAGCTGTCTCCGGGAGGTTTTTTGGAGCGAAGACAGCGCCAAGTTGATAGCAAGTTTCATGTCTAAATGTGCGTTCAACGTTTAAGCATGCATTTACCAGACTGGTATTCTCAGATTCACTTATTTTCTTTAGTGTAATCGGGTTGGAATCGCAAGATAACGGGAAGCTAGCCAGAAAACTCACAGTGGAGCGGAAGCACGACTTTTACTATCTTTGACTCAAAGAAAGAGAGTGTACACATGTTTGCACACAGTAAAACAATCTTTACAATGTCAGCAAAGATAAAGACAAGTGTAATTGTGGCACCTTTACTGGAAAGAGACAGATATGGGATGATAAGTTGGTTGTTAAAATCGTGTCTTTAGGCTTATATCTTGTTGAAGACTGAGAGAGCATTGCATTATTATACAGGGAAAATATGAATACAAGTTCTCTCAGTACGCATGCGCCATGCACTTGACTGACGATCACTTTCACTTCAAAGTAAGAGATGTTGTACCAACTGAATTGCATTATGTTACAGCAATCCTTCCTGATAGGAAGCACATGTGATGCTCTGACTGACTGACCAATCTCCGTGAGTAACTAGAATGAAAAGGACTTAGTGGGTCCTTTGTTCATGCCTCCCCCCAGTGGTACAGCGGTATGTCTGCGGACTTACAACGCTAGAATCCGGGTTTCGATACCCGTGGTGGGCAGAGCACAGATAGCCCATTGTGTAGCTTTGTGCTTAATTACAAACAAACAAACATCCTTTGTTAATTGTTTTGTACTAACAATAAAAGACTTACAGTATACAGAAATTTTGAAAAATTATCTTCTAAGTAAGTAGGTAGGAAATATATGGCAAGCTTTAAAAACCACACCAGACGTAAACGGTTATAACTATATCCGGGACATTTTCTGGAGAGAAAACGGTGCCAGGTTGATTGTAATTTTCTTGTCTAGATAAGCGTCCAACCTTTAAACATGTGCCAGACTTAAATTGTTTTAGCTGTTTT